TTTTCTTTAATAAAAAATTGTGTTAGCAGCTACGATGTTTTCTCAGAAAAAGTGTTCGTATGTTATCGCACACAGGGAATTGAATGGTGAAGGTCACAGGTTACAGGAAGCAATGGTATCCCCAAAAAAACAAAATGTTGGGTGTGCACATACTTTTGAAACACACTGTACTTGGCGTGCGCAGTGCAGCTGAACATGAAAAAAGTAAAGAAAAATTTTCCAAATTGTTTTCATTTATTTTTCACCGTGCTGAGAATTTTTCCTTATCGCCTGGGTGTTCCTATGGATCCAAATTGAATCGGACATTCGAGAAGTCTTTTAAAGATAGCAGATATTTATGCGATTCTCGGTAGTGCCTCATCCCGCAATAATTTCTCTTGCTATTCTAAACGGATCCTCTTTTTTATTATTCGTATAGGCCCTTTGTGAAGGTGGATCAGGGAAATACATTTTTGATTCCAACTGATTAATTTCCGTGTAATTTTGTATTTTGAAATAACCAGGATATGCATTGGATCATACCTGATGGATTATAGAAACACGATGGCAGCGGTACCATCACTTTAGGCGGGTAGTAGTATTTAGCATTTGGAGCGTCCTTCAAACTCGCTTTGAGATTTTCTGTCCGAATCTAAATTGCAACAAATTTATACAATCTGAAATACGCATTGATATTTTCAAAATCCGATCTACCACTAACACCAGTTGGCGCGCGCGCTCGCGGAGCGGTCACTTTTATTGTGAATTCAAATCAATCANAAAGGCTTGATGGGCTTTCAACCTTTTTGTTTTTATTCAAAACTAGCTCCATTTGGCACTACCCCCTCTCCCCTTGCCTTCTTTTTGATCATTTTCTAATTCTGATTCCGACTCACATCTACATCTACTGCTCCAATTTTGATGGGTGTTGTAGTTGTTTCTGGCGCTTCACTTTCTTCTTCCATGATATCTTCAGTTTCCTTCGACTTTCCTTTTTTCCGAAGTTTTTTGATTGGTTTTTTCTGAAACAAAAATAAATATTGAATTTCCACTGTAAGATAGCTACCCCTGACTTCTGACCTTTTTTGGTTTTTCCTCAACGTCGGCGTCGATGTTTTCAGGCTCAGTCGTCGTCGTTTCCGCGACTTTCATCTCGTCCATACTGTCGTCCTCCTTCACCTTCTTTTTCCATTGCCCTTTTTTCAATTTCCTTTTCATTTTGCCCCATTTCTTATTCTTGATACGTTTGGCGACCTTTGGTGTGACAATGGTTTCAGCTGATTCGTCTTCGACTTGTTCCACTGTCGCCACTTCTTGAAATTCGCCCTTGACTTGTCCTCCAGCACCAAGTGGTGGTTCCTCTGTTATTTCTTCTTCAGCTTCTTCTTCATCAACCTTATTGGATTGCTTTTCAGGAGCTTTTTCAGTTTCTCCAGTCTCTTCGGGTTCTTCTGTCGTTTCATTCTCTTCACTTTTTCTCCGCTCTCCAGACTTCGATATCGATGCAATGGTCTGTTCTAAATTTTGCTTAAGAGCTTCGTTTATACTTTTATTGAAGTCGCCCTCGGCAGTGTTAGATTTCAACGTCTTCTTTATTTTCTTCCTTCTCCTTTTCTCTTTTTTCCCAACAATTTTCTTCTTGCTGATAGCTTTTGTTGTTGTCACATCTTCTGTAGGGCTCTCCGTGGTCGGTGCATCCGTTACTTCTGTCACTTCTTCTACCGCCACCTCCTCCTCTTCCTCGACTTCTTCAGCCTTATCTTCCTCCTTTTCTTCGGTCTTTTCTTTTCCTCTGCTTTTGGTCTTCTTCATCTTTCGCTTCTTTTTCTTCATATCCCTTTCTATCGATTTTATGGTTTCTGAGTTGAGTTCTGTGATCTTATGCGAGTGTTTCGGAGTTGGTTTCTTCTTTTCAACAGTTTCTTCTTTCTCTTTCTTTTCCTCTGAGATCTCGCTCTCCTCTTTCTTCTCTTCCGAGCTAGCGCTCTCCTCTTTCTTTTCCTCGGATTTTTCGGTCTCCTCCTTCGTTTTGTCTTTCTTCTGCCCCTCTTTTCTTGCTTTCAATATTTCTTTTTGCTGCTCCTTCAAAACCGCTCTGAAATCGTCTTCAACGTTTTCTAATGTTGTGGTTGCTGCCGCGGTTGTTGTTGACGTGGTTGTTGTTGTTGTTGTTGTTGTTGTTGTTGCTGCTGCTGCTGTTGTTGTTGTCCTTTCTTGTGCTTCCTCCTCTTGTAAAGACGCAAGTATCTGATCAGAATCGTCGGCTGCCGTCGTTGTAGTGGTTGATTTTTGCGTGGTGGCAGTGGTGTCCTCTCCTTCTTCTTCTGGAGTTGGTACCGTCGTCGTTGTGGGCGGTGATATTGTTTCAGGGATAACCGTGTTGGTCGAAGAAGTTGTCGCGGGTTGGGATGATGTCTCGGGTTGCTGCTCAGTCGCATTTGACCTCTCTTGATCAGTGTTACTGAATTGTGCAAATTCTTCTGAATCGTAATCTGGGATCTCTGAGCTCTGAAAAATAAAGACAATAAGCGAAAACATGAAGTTCTTGTTTTAATGTTTTTTCAATAATTTTCAAAGTGGATTTTTGTCATTTTTCTTGCATATCTGCAAGGTAACGTTTTGAGATTTTGAACAGCTGCTTTTTAGCGGCTTCAGATGTTTCATATCATCGTTCTCACGTCTTTGTCCCAAAAGAGAATTGAATAACGGTTTCTCTGATAGTAAGTGAGGGGTGTGGCCCGTAAAATGGGTGTGGCTTCGAAGAAGCGATACATTCAAGGTTGCACCGTAGTTGTTTCTCTGTTTTCCGAAAGAAACTGAACTTCGAGTTGGAACAAAGCCTAGATTTTTTATTATAATAATCATGAAATCCTCATGAATCCCGGCTGGTGCGTAAAGCTAACTATATGGGAACTCAGCCAAATTTAGGAAAATAGGGGAGTGATGAAAAATTTGCGAACTTTGATCGTTTCGGAATTGTTTGAAATAGTCAAAGTTGGGATAAAAGCTGAGACTCGGATAGATATTCCGGAAATCGGAAGTCCGATTCCGAAAATCATCGGAAGTATATTTCATCGCACACTTGGAAGACATACGCTTTGTACGCGAATGCTTTGCTCTTACTAATTCTAAGCATATATTCTCAGGTTCAGAGATTCAGTCATCAACGCGTAACTATTTTGAACACTGTTATTTTTGTGTATTATGTTTATTTGTTACGTATTACTATCAATGATTAATTATTGGATGTGCTTACTTATTTTTATTTCCTTTTGTATCCTAAAAGTTTATAACATTTTATGAAAAAAGGCACCAAACCATCGACTCACGATTGCTTCCAGTGTCCTATCAATGTTGCTTAGTTCCGTCAGCGGTGAGCTGGTCATAGGGCTGGGTAGCTGAGCAGCCTCTCCGAATCCAGAAACAATCTCAGAGGAAGTGGCATTCAAAATTGTTGTTTGATTTGAGGCCGAATCCGTGATATTCAAATCCTGCAGCAAATCCGAGCTACTCCTGCCTATGATAGAAGTCTCTCCAATAATGTTGTCGATAATCTCATCGGCGATTTCGAGGCTTGACGCTTCCTTCGCGATTTTCGACGGTTGAATTCTGGAGATTTTCACTTCGGAAAGTGTAGGAAGCATTCTGTCGCTAACGGTCTCGTCATGACGATCCGCGAATGGAATTACTCGTGGGTGATGGATCTCATTCATATGACGAGTAATACTTTGTAGAATTTTCCGTTTTCTTTGATCCATTCTGCTACGACGATCATTTGTAGGACGCATCGGCTCCAGTACTTCAGAGCTTTCCTTAAAATGAGCTTTTTTGAAAAAAAACAAGGTGATTGGTTAACCGGCAATCCAGCAGGCTTACCACTTTTATCACTCGAATCGGCTCCACAGGCTTAAGGTTATCGAATTCGTCGCCACCCACTGCACGTTCAAAGGAATCAATTGGATCTCGGTTGAGCGCCTAGATTTTCTCAGGATTTTGGAAGACAACAAGAAAAAATTAATTCAAAATAGTTTTCATTAAAATAGTTCTTCAAACTATTATAATATGAATTGATGTCAACACTCACTATACTTGTGCCATGTGTTCGTTGTCGTGCTCGGTGGCGATTCACAGCTCCACTTATTTGAAACTGCAATTAATCAGTCCGAATGACGAGCTAGTTGTCATGAAACGAGAATACTACGTTCTTTTGGTATTAGTAGATGGGCGTGGGTTGAAAGGTGGGCGGGACGTTCTTTTTGCAGGGGGCGCGGCCTGAAGTGTGGGTGGGTTTTCTAGATGGGAATACAAATACGGGGACTATGCTCTATCTGAAACCTGGAACTAATCAGTTCCAAGAAGTGGGGGAAGGGGGACTATCTAATATTCCAAATAAGCCTACCTTCTTAGACTCAATTGGTTCTTCCCTAGGCGCCTGCTCCAATTCAAAAATTGAAAGTTCTCCAAGATAATCGTCATTTCAGCTCGTGCGTTTTACGATGGATACTGCAGCCTTTACATGGCAAATGTCTAACAAGTTGACCGTCATGATCTTCATGGAGCTTCTCTCTTTCTTAACTGCCCATTTAGCTCCTTCAGTACTTCTTAGTACGAATCTATGTTTTTCATTGTAATCCCGACAGCTGAAGATCAACCTTCTTTGAGGAATGTTAGGATATATTAAAAGTAAACTAACCGATCGTGGATATTGCACAGGCTTCAGAGGCTGTGCTATGGCTGGATGTATCGGTGGCAGCCGTAAATTCATCTCCACTTGAGGCCTATGAATTTGTAGTGTTGGGATAGACTGTGGATGGCGGCGAATATCATGGCCTCGATGTATGGCTTGTGCCCACTGAAAGTACCTGGCTTTAGCGAGGTGAGTTCTTAGAAGTGCCTTCATATCTGGACCAACATTAGAACTCTACCTACTTGTTGTTGAGATCATATGGGATATGTATATGAAATTTTTGCCCCACGCCCAACTCCTACTATAACTCTTTACGCATTCAGATTATAGCAGTCTTAACAACATCGGAGTTTCAATAAGGACCCAAATTTCTACCGTAACCTCACTTCTGTTTTCATTGCTGTGCGTTGGTTATCAGCATTTCACGTTTAGAATTAGCATGGGAAGATAGCAAACTTACTGTAAAGGTATAGATCCAGGGAGATTATGGTAAAATCATGGATCCATACCGGTTTCTACCAGTGTGGGTTAGACCAATATAATACCTATTGAAGGTTCATACCATTGCAAAAATTGTATGAATTACTCGAAACTCTATTTATTATTATTAAACCGATAGAATGGATTCAAGTGTGCCTTTTCTTATAATTTTTTTTTTCAAAAGGCGGAATTTGTGAAAAGGGCGGAGGGCGTGGAATAATTCGAGGTTTCCAAGTGTTCATTGCTCTTTTCCAATTGCTGTTTTAAAGGAAACAATGAAGTTATTATTCGTATTTTTTTCAACTTTAATCAAGATGCTTTCTTATTAAGGACGAGATCGGAATGATTGTCAGTAAGGGAAATACTCACATATGGTCTGAAGTTTGCTTGGTACTGCTGCGGATGTGTTTGTGTGCATGAGACACCAGGATAACCTGAATCGTAGTAAGTTATCAGAGTTCAAAATTCATGGAAAAACCTTTGTAGGGAGTTTAATATGTTAGTCTTAAGTTGGTCTCAGGGTTGGGGCAACGGTAGGAACTCCCCACCAAGGTTGTACCTGGTTCCAAATGGGAGGACCTCGTTTATCGACTGAATTTTAGAAGCCGTGAAATGTATTCTTCAGATACGGTCGTATACATGAGTTCAAGCCTTTTTTCGCCCTTTAAGCTACTTACTTTGGCCAATTACTTGGGTGCGCCACGCACTAAACCGCCGTCTAAATCCACGAGAGGATCGAAGGAAGTGCTGGACTTATATAAGAGCGTAGGTGACTTAACTCATTATTCGCCACTGCCACTTGTACAAGTCTACGAGCCTGATAAGACTAAATCAATCCTGAGGGATGCTTGTGAGCTTTGCCTGGGAGGACCTCTTCCAACCTTACTCAGAACTTAACTACGAGTATTATTTGTCCACGAGAAAGCCCGGTACTCAGTATCCTCTTTTTTGGAATTCTAGGAACTCAATTTGCTAAATCGTGATTTCATTCGTGAAGATCTTTTGCAGTATATCCAATAGATACAATTACAGTAAGCAGGTAAATACTGAACTGACCTGGTTGACATTGAAGTCGAACAGTGACCGGGTATAAGAGTAACAGAAGGGCTAACCGCATAGGATCTGATATGGTATAGGACTATCTCGAAGAATCTGATCGCCCCACTCAGTAATTGAATTACCATCAGCCGGATGAACGCCCAGGCGGGTTGTCGAAAGCCGCTCCCACTCATTGCAGATCCGAGACGAAACCTGTCACCGGCTAACCGGGGTCATAGGTATTACATCTGATCGACAAGAGACATGATCCCATGATTGATAATGACATGTTGGTAGAAAGTAACGTACCAGTGAAGCAACTGCTTTCAGTTGTTGAGGGGAATTATCGAAAGTGGGGCTCTGGTCAATAACGAACATATCTTTAAATGGCTTGTGAGTATTCCTTTTAGGAGTTTTTTCTTCCATTCATTAGTTACTCATAGTGCTACCTTCACCACAGTCACAGCCGAATAATCATATTCGGGCCTCAGTTTTCGTTCTATGTCCCTGGCCGCTGCTTTTTAACATTCGCTCCCTTGAAAATCCCCGAGAAATTCAGTGGAATCGTAGTGAAAGCGTCAAATGTTGACCCTGAACACTTTTCCAACAAGCTAATAGTAAGTACTAGTTAACAGTTAAATCTAGTTTGGGAGGAGTGGCTTAGTAGAAGGTTTGTTTGGCTCAGACAAGATCTGATCCTATCTATTGTGCAAAAGGGGAGAGTCGTTGCAACACCCTCCAGTGGTCATGGGGCTACAAACCCACACAAAAAGGTACTTCTATGCTTACTCGGGCCGAATTGGCGTGATCGAGAAGATGGAAACCTGAGAAGTGCTCCGCGAAGCTTCTTATATTGGGAACTGAGACTGCAAGGGAAAGATAGCATGAAGGGTATCGTAGTCCACTACCAGCTATGCCGATAGTAATGCACCTTCTGAGTATGAGACACACCGCGATCCAAATAGAACTTTGAATTTAATAAATTTTGGTTTATTTTTTCTCGTGGTGAGCCGAGCCCTTATGAGAAATGAACATTTCAGCACACCGTGGTGCAAACCAGTTTGGAAAATTTTTTTCCCCACCAGTTCTTTACATGTACAAGGAAAGCTAAGCAAACAGAGGCATATAGTGTAGTGGTAGGGTTGGCATGAATCTGAAATAGTCAATACCACTTACTAGGGAATTACCATGGAATCAATACATGTTTGGGAAATAGCTAAATATCATAGTGCCATATCATTAAAGACAACGAAGACGGTAAATGTGTGGGCGGCGCCAGAAAGACAATTGTCCTCGCACCATTCGCCCCTTGGCCGGGAAGGAGGGGCCCACAATTAGAAAGACTTAACTATCCACACATACCTCTTACCCCTCCCGACTTCGCGTTGTTTCTTCAAAAAACAGTGAAGTGCCAAGAAGACTCGTTTTATATTTTCGCTAGAAAGAGAATAACAAACTCTGTTTATTATTTGCGTACATTTACAATTTGTACTATTTGTTTGTTACACAGTATTTGTTCACTGTTTTTGGGTTTTTTTGTCTGCTAGTTAACTTCTTCTCACTAAAACTTTTCAAACTTGTTTTCAGAATATACACGGAGAACCATTCTTTGAACAGCTACATATGAATTTTACGACTTAAAACCGGAGTGGCACAAGCGAATTGTGGCGGTCTTCGGGACGAAAGCAAGCGGAATCTACAAAGTTCTTTTTATTTTGCATATCTATCTTTAAAACTTTCATTCTGTTCCTTTGGTCATTAGGTTCGGGTTTACCTGGAAGAAGCTTCCTCAAAACTTTTTCAAAATGTTGTTTTTTTTTAAATAGGCGGTAGCCCTGAACGCCATATCGCGCGTCGAGTCAACTAGCAAGGAATCACCGCGCGATGTATGAGGATTAGGTCTACCACTACATCTTGCCTTAGAAAACAAGTATTTTCACTGCTCTTTGGTTACATATGCTTTCTATGCATTTTTATTTATCACCGATATAATGTTTGTGACCTATCCAAAATTGATCCCGTGGTGAAATGCCTCTTGATTCAATACCGATTGATTGTTGATTTGATTGTTGTTGTATTTATTTCATCCCTGTAAGTTTTGTTTTAATTTTTCAGCCTTTGCCAGTCATTTTTTCTACAGTCAAACTGTTTCCTTGTAATCTCTAGGCTTTTTGAAGAATTACAAATTCCATGAGCGAAGAGAGTTTAGCCTGGAGGATTTCTGTGAATCTCGTAAATCCCATATTACTCAAATCTTTTTGGGCCAACTGGTTGGTACTAGTTTGGCTTGGGAAGGTGAAATAACTATCTCGAGTGTTCTCCACCATTGATGGCTCTTTTGAATGCTTTAAATTCATTTCATTGCTCCCGCTATTCTGAATAGAATTCGTGTACATGGCGCGTCAGAAAATTTAATTAGTGCCTTTGCATTCGCTTTTTCTTTCTTATAAGCCGTTACTCCCAAGGCATTTATTGTTGTTTTTCTAACTTATCTAAAATTGTCATGAATCGGGTATTCAGCCCCTACGGCAAGCTACTCGAAAGCCCCACATGAGCGCGTTCGTTTTCAGACTTTTACGGGCAGCAAGTGCCCTGATGAAACCAGTGGCTTCAGTACGCGACGCGACCTCGCGCCTACTTCACACATGTTGCGACTAAACGAATCTCAAAAATTATGATAATCGTATGAATGTACTCACAATTTTAATTTTAATTTTTAATTTTCGATAATAATTTCAACACCTCTGCACTGGCTAAATGCTGAAGCTGGAATTATCAAAGAACATGACACCATCGCTTCACCAACAAGTGAGTCACTGTGGCGTTTTTTTTTTCTTTTGAAAAACAATATTGATTCATATATCGGTGGCGATTTGTAAAAATTGCTGGTAATTTTTTTCCCCTTTAGAAGTTCCTCACACGTGGTAAAAACTTATTCTGATGATGAATAGTTGGGAATCGAGACTTATAGTGTTGGGACGGATGAAGATGGGGTGATTCGTGGATTTAACACTGAATTTGTACTCGTGCATTCATCTCGACCAAGCCTTCCAGCCTTACGGAGTGCCTTAACTGGTACCAGACTCGTCGGAGAGAGTAGAATACTGACTTTCACAACCTCAAGCCATTGTTTAGGTCATATACGCCTTCAAAACGCCACTGAAATTGTGATGGGAAGCCGAATCAAAGGCGCATACCGAGAGACCGCATTGGCTGATCTAAAGGCTTTACCTAACAAAATAGGGCCCAAACTTGTACTGCTAAAGTACTGCCACTATTCAGAACGGCACCCGAGGACAAACGGTGCACAGTCCTGTAACAAGAGTAAGTTAAGGGATAAAATTAAATCCTGAAGACCCAAATTATTTCGAAGTTGGTCTGATGACTAAACTCATTCACAATTATAGAAGACTTCTGTGTATATTGAAGCGCTCGAGCAAACTGTAGGCGCAAATAGTTTCGCTAGAACAGAAGCCGCGGTCTACTTGGAAAAACCCTCCTTTACTAGAATGTTAAGAGTATTCTAAACAGAAAAACTGCTATAAACAGCCTAATCCCTACGGAAACTCATCGCCCGGCCGACAGCTTCTACCCCAAAATGAGCCTATCTGTGTTTTCGATATACTGTAGCCGCTATTGAGTGTTTCGTCATTGCGTCCTATATGTCGCAATGTACGCCTTGAATATGACTGGCAAGCGTGCGTCATTGTGCCAGGTTGAAATTCATCGGCGTATTTCGGTCTGAATTGATTTTCACGAATTTGATCGTTTTTGCATTTTATTAATGGCAAATGCAATAACATAGCGCTAGTTTCGGGTGGCTTATGTTGGCTGCTTCCTTGTTCGATTATTCGCTTCCTTTACTGCCTTCCGTTACCAGTTCTCATTATGAGTTTCTTCCCTTAAATCAATCTGTTTTTATGATCTTGTCTATTGGTTTGAGTTTCCTTGATTAAACAATTTACAGACAACGGGAATGGACTCACAAGGCAGAAAGATAATCGTTGTCGATAACGGGTCTGGGGTAAGCAATTTTTAAACATTTTCAATTCTTTTACTCTGAAAGTCAGAAGATTTTCCTCGTAATCCTTATCATTCGTTTAGTTTGCTTGGATTTTTTGCACATATCTGATTTAGCATGGCGTTTTTGTTTCTTAGGAAAAGTAATATTTTATTTCAGTTCGTTAAATGTGGTTACGCAGGAACCAATTTCCCCACACACATATTTCCATCATTGGTAGGACGACCTCTCGTCAGGTCATCACAGAAAGTTGGCAATATAGAGATCAAGGTTGGTAATACCTATACTGTTCTTATTTCTTTATATTGTCATTGTCATTGGCTCTTCTTTCCTGGTGGCCCGATTTCTCAATAGTTAAAATTGATTTGCCATGAAATTCGTTTCACATTTGCCCATTTGCTTTTAGTTGTCATTTAGTGGTGACTGTTATGTAATTCCGCTATACGAGTAGATATAACTCGTCCAAAGCTGAATTCCGTAGCAATTTCGTTTCAAATTGAAAAAGATGGCATAGTGACGATGGAATAACTAGGTTAGGTTTCTGTTAAGAATCGACAACACTCTCATTTCCAAATTGCGTTCTTTTTCGTTTTCGAAGTACCCACCAATCTCTGTCTGTGAGCCCTTGGAGACTATTTGCAATGGGCTTTTGAATTTCGTGTTCCCACCTATAAAATCTCTCTAAAAGGCCTTGTCTTCTGCGTCATGACCTGTGTTTTTGATAATAATTGCTTTTCTTACCATCAACAGAATATTCGTTCATTTGAGACTCACTCAAAAATTCTAAGCATAAACCAACTTCTAAAGAATTTGAAAAATGGTAGATAAAGCAAATGAGATTTCACTATGTTTTTATTCTGGAAATAATCTTCTCGAAGGCATAGTGGAGTTAGTTGGTTGGAGAGTGATACTGATTTACAGAGTTGTTCAAATCTCTGTACAATACACAGAATTCTTCTTAGTTGGAGTGTGTCCGCGTGCTCAAACGTGTTATTGGCAAATCGTCTAAAAGAAATCAAATTCATTTTTATTCTATTTTGCCGCGTTTTTATAACAATCTTTATTCAGGATCTCATGGTAGGAGAAGAGTGCTCTCAACTACGACAAATGCTCGATATATCGTATCCAATGGACAACGGTATCGTACGTAATTGGGAGGATATGGGCCATGTTTGGGATCATACCTTCGGACCAGAGAAATTAGACATCGATCCAAAGGTTACTTGTTTCGGATCTTTTGGCAGTATTTTCTGAAGTTCATTGAATTTTGATATGTTTTATTACTTTTTTCTGTATTTGGCATTTTAGAGAGAGCTGAAGATTATTTCCTTGGGAAAAATCCGTAAGTGTGGATGTGGGTTCAAATTGTTCTTTCCATGATTGATGCCTCTTTTGCTGAGGAGACTCGGGGTCATTACGGCATTAAAGTGCCGCAAAGTCGCTCATGCCCCGGTTTTGAATGACTACGAATGCAGTGTTGACTGGAGATTACAGACGAGTTCTTCGTTCTCTCCTTTACCGGGAAAGAGTTGCATGAAATGGGGAGAGGGGGGGGGGGGGGGGGGGAGGGGTGCACTGATTACTTAAGACCACCCGGCTTAATTTTTGATCAACTTTGATCTGAAGAAACTGTACACCCACAAATTTTTTTCGGCACTTTTATGCATGAAATGCCTTTTTGGGATGATTAGTTCAAGAAACTTGAGTTTGTTGATGATTCGTTTCGTGCTATCTTGAACTATCTCGTTCTGCTACCTGCTGGTCGTGAAATTCAACTTTTCCTAGAATCTTGAAGGTTTTCATGCATCCGGTTTATCTTACGGTGAATCTGGTTTCCCCAGCTTTGGGCTTGTCTGAGGGGATAAGTTGGTTAGGATCTTGACGTCAGAAGTCGAATCCTGTGGTTGAATGATTTGTGGCTTCTATAATAAGTACGGGTGTTGGCACGTTGTTTGAGTGCGGTTAAAGATTATTAGTTGAGGTGGTGATGTCTATCATTCTAAACGGTTTCATTGATTCGATTCTTGTCCGAGTTCGCTGGAAAAATTTTGTTAGCTGGTCAGTTACGAAGTTATAGCGAAAATGCTCTCGTCTTGGGAGAGGTGGGGCAGTCACAGCTCTAAGAATACGGGCTCGCTTTCAATAGGAGCAATGATCAGTACACCCACGATGACGAACTAGATATTATAGCAAGTTGCTTGCGCTATGAAAATATCATGGTGGTGACGCGCTGACTCAGTATTTGCACAGCGTCATGCGTGATATTAATTGAGCCATGAAGCACATTCATGTTGCAAATAGATAATGTATATGTATTTGTTAGCATGGAAATCTGAGAACTATCATTTTCTCCTCCAGCAAAGGAAGATTAGGGTCGTAGAGGGTGTTCAATAATTAAATCTCTCATTACCATTGACGACGAGTGCTGTGGTGAAAGTAGAGGTAGGGTTCTATCCGTCTAGCAAGCGAATGCGTTAGTTCGTTCTTTCTCGTATAGTTCACAATGTTATTTCGCTTGATCTCACTTCTTCACGTGCTGGAATATGTCCACCTATTGGACCCTTAATGGCGGATTAGCAAAAGTCAAACGCAATCCTTCGAATTTTGAAATTATAAATGCTCTCGAATTTCTGGTCTAGTATAACCATTATAAGTAATATATTCCGAAATGAATTTTTATATCAACGTTTTCCTCCAGTTTTTTTGACAACCATGTATTTTCTAGGACTGCAAACTGCTTCTCACCGAGCCGCCACTAAATCCTAGTAGCAACCGAGAACGTTTATTTCAAGTGATGTTTGAACAATATGGTTTTCATTCTATCCACGTTGCTGTACAAGTGAGTTTTATGTATTCGTGCAGCTCTTTTATTTCACTAGATGTAGTCTTTTCCTTCTATTGTTGATGCTGAATTGGGTGGGTGTGTTACTCCTCCTTTTTCTGCAGTCCTGAATTGCGGGCGAGCGGGCATGTCTTTCTTAGTTTCTTTCTTCTACTCTTTGCGCGTTTTCAATTTTTCGGGAGTACTCGAGAATTTCGCTAGTTCGCCTTTTGAGTACCAATTGTATGAGTGAGCTTTAGTTTGCATCGGATGATTGTGCCATTTCACTCGACCTTTGATGTATTTTTTCGTAAACATCTTCTGAGCAGAGTCATCGAGAAGCCAACGATGGTTTTTTCCGGATATGTGAAATCTGTGGCTCATCGGCGTTTTTTAAATCAGATATGAGTTTGCGCGATTTATGATGTCACCTGATCCATCTATTGATCAGAATGATCTCAAATTATAATATTTCTGAATGATTCCGAATTCAGTTTGTTGGTTTGTTGAACATCGCGTTTTTTAGGCCGTGTTGACACTGTATGCTCAAGGCCTCCTGACGGGTGTTGTAGTGGATTCAGGCGACGGCGTTACCCATATTTGTCCCGTGTACCAGGGTTATGCCTTGCATCATTTGACGCGGAGGCTCGACATTGCTGGGCGAGATATTACTCGCTATTTAATTAAGGTAAGTTCGTAATCCTTTTAGACTCTGATTATGCCTAGAATTTTCCTGGGCATAATCAGAGTTTACAAGGACTAAATCTACTACGAACTAAATCTCTCACTTTCCAGCTGTTATTGTTACGTGGTTACAATTTCAACCATTCTGCTGATTTTGAAACTGTTCGATTAATGAAGGAGAAGTTGTGTTATGTGGCATATGATGTTGAACAAGAACAAAAACTCGCTCTTGAAACGACAGTTTTGTCCCAGACGTACACGGTAGGCTATCTATATGTTTTCGTTCATTTGCTCTCTGTAGACCGCATAAATGCCGAGGAATTGTCTCTTATAGAGGGCTTTTCCATATGCGGGAGAAAGACTGGAAATGCAATAGTTGTTCTTATTTTTGGACGTACCGAAATTTTCTTTTTTGCTCCAAAGCTTTTTATTCCTGCACATACACGTCCTTCTATAATAAATAACGTTTCTGTACTAATTCGCATTGATTTTCGATCTTCCGCTTAGAATTTGATTTCCAGATTATGGTCTTGTAATCTATGACTCTAAAAGAGTCTGCGATAATTTTTTTTTCTCTCCAAAGCTTCCTCCTTATCTTTTTTGGTCCGGTGGTAAAAATAAACTACTTATCTACTCAAACATATTATGTCTATGTCTTTGAGTCTGTTACGAGCTCAAAGGGTTTCGTGGAAGATTTTGTCTTTTTTTTGTGGAAGTTTACCCCGAAGGGCGGCAAGCTTAGCAAGCTCACCTTCGAAAAATGGGCATCTCAACTATTCTTGCCTTTTGTACCGATTTCAGAGTGGTTTGATGCCTTACAGTGACTGGGGTGATATTGCTGCTATAACGGTTACGACTAACCTACTGGAGGCTCCCATCCCAACACAACGTCAAATATGAGGCGGCGGAGGGGGTGCTTTAGGGTAGCTTTTACGTAATAGTTGATTGTTAGTTTAGCCGCTTATGTGGAAAAAAGATCCAGTGTCTCTCTGATCCAGGAGTGTATAAGTTGCGTCTCAACCGGATCGCAATCATTCTCATTGTGAAACTAATGGCTCTACTTTCGAACCTACTTTCGAGTACGGTAGTCTATCAGGAGCTAATGTTATCTATGCGGTGATTATTGAAACGCGATAATTTGTCCGAGTTTGGTTCATGTGTTTGATGGTGTTTTTGCTGACTGGCGCCAACATTATTGAATAGTGTTATTGCGCATCAGTACGATACGTATGATTAGGTCGTAACGAGTTAGTAGATCCGTTTCTGCGGTCGAATGACGTGATTGAGGATAGTTGTTGACGTTTTGTTTTTTTTTTTTCACTTCGAAACATTTGGCTGTAATATTTGTATGAGGTGACTCACGCCAGTCAATATTCGTTGATGGTTCTTACGTTAGCCATCACATCATAAATGAAAAACTGCATATTAACTGTTGAAATGAGAGCATCCTTGGTGACCATTATCAGATTTTGATTAGTTTTCCATGTTAATATTCGATTGGGTCCTACAGTAGTCCTTTTTTGAAGAAACTCCTCCCTCCACAAATTCTCGATTTACGTTTCTAGTTGCTTTCTGATATTTTTTCGAACCAATTCTTTTCAGTTACCTGACGGACGTACAATTCGACTGGGTGGTGAGAGATTTGAGGCTCCTGAAGTCCTGTTCCAGCCACATTTAATCAATGTCGAAAAGCCAGGATTGTCAGAAACTCTCTTTGGCTGCATTCAATCTAGTGATATTGGTTAGTTTATCTACTTTTGTGCTTTCTTCCTCTTCAAATTTCCAATTTTTTCTTTTTGCATTCTGATGGCTTTAGATACCCGTCTTGATTTTTACAAACATATTGTGTTATCTGGTGGATCAACAATGTATCCCGGATTACCTAGCAGACTTGAGAAGGAGATGAAGCAGTTGTATTTGGATCGTGTTTTGAAAGGAAACACGGAGTTGTTCCAGGTGAGATCTCTCATTTTTCATATATGCTTTCTTTATAAGACATGAAATTCGAAAACTCTGTGCTACTGAGTTTCTGAGAAATTGGCTGCTTTTTTGGATTCATACCGATTTGTTTTTACTTTCCTTCAATTCGCTCTTTTCGCTTGGCATGTATCTTATATAGCATCGCTCTAATGGGACAAGACTAGTAGCTTTTGAAACTCGCAGACGCACTAGCTTTTGAAAAGTGGAAAGGTCGGACGACTTCCTACTCAGACGTGATGCGAAGCGAGAAGTTTGAAAAGTTCACTTAGAGCTTTAGCAGCAGTATCCAAAACCGAAAAATGTAGTGTAAAGAAGAAAGTAAGTGAGATAACATCGTTGCTCGGCTGGATCTGCCATGACTTCACGTAGGAAAGCTAACCTCGTCATGTGGTTTCATAAAGTTCTTCGCAAAGGAGGTCTGAGCCTCAAACAATTGTAATTTTGGGGTTCGCATACTGCAGAAAAAGTCGATAACTATCAAAACTGTGTCCGACTCTTAAGCTTTGAATCTAACATGAGCGATTGTGGCTGAGTTCTTAGTGGGTGGAGTAGATACAAAAAGGTGTGCTGTTAAGATCGAGAATTTCGTTCCACCTGATTCCGAGCATGCTGAACGATCACCCTCAGTACTCCGGACAAACACTGAACAAGCTTCTACTTATTTGAGTCCCTTGTTTCTTAGCATTGTTTGCGCCATCCTGCCGTGTCTTACGAGGTCTCACAGTGTTTGTCTAGTGGCTGTATTCATAGAGGTTTTTATGGGCCTGGCGAGGTTTAATCGGATCTTGGAGGATCTTTTTGATTTTTCATTCTATGTGACGGGGATGCCGCCGAACAAGTGTTTCATGGCGATGTTTTGACATCAATACGTTTTCTGAAGCGTTTTTCTTTGTTGTGATACACCATGGCCACCTACCAGGAGGTCGCCGCGCGAGTGTCGGATTAGCATAGTCAAACAGACGGCGACCGCGCCCTTCCACAAAATCGGCTGAAAGGGTAGATAATATTGTTGAATGTGAACAAGCCAGAAAAAGGGTACTGCAATTTGATGGGTGCAGTTCAGGGATGGTAGCGATATTTCTCATAATTGCTTCTATGAACGTGTCTATAGCAGCTGTTGCCATACATAATCACTATTGCATTCTGACAAAAAAAAGTTGGGAATATGGCGAAGTTCGGGACTGTTCAGGCGTGTGGCTTGTTTTACTGATCGATGAAGATATGCAATCTTTTTGCATCTTGAAGTTGTGTATAGTAAAGCTAACAGTCTGTAAAATCGCTGCTTAAGAAGGCCGTTACAGGTGATTCCAATCCCTCTCCGAAACCAGCTTTCTGACTTTTGCCGCTCCTAGGAGAGTTTCTAGTTGGATCAGTCGTCTTGTACGCCCATTGCGATTATCGAGAACTTGGGTGGAAAAGGAATATTGTCTGCCAAATCATGTGCTAATTAGTTCTCCTCTCATGCTCATGTGTTTTAATAAGGATTGTTAAGTGTTTTAATAAGGATTGTTAATGCTACTAGCACTTCTAATTGGCATCTTGCAAGCAGTGTCAACAATTTTTTATGATTTCTTATTCTATTAAAAATAAGGGTCATAATTTGTTTGCATTAAGCAAAATCATCAGTGTTTTTTTTTTCCTTCCAATCAGTTATCGTAAATCATTAGTCAGATAACTGTTTATTTCAGAAGTTCAAAGTACGTATAGAAGCGACACCGTTTCGGAAACACATGGTATTCCTTGGTGGAGCAGTGCTTGCTAATATTATGCGGGATAGGGATCAAGTAAGTGATGCGTGTTTTTGACTAATTTGTGATATATTCTCTGTTTAGTTCGTTTATAGTATCCGTACTTGATCCATAATTAGCCAAACGAATTCCACAATCAGTGCGAGTGGCGCTTATGTTCTTTCTTTCGCAAGATTTTTTTCGATATTTTGGTTATTATTAAGTATTACTAGAAGCTGCACTGTGGTGGTTCTTTGTGGTAGCTCTTGCCATCTATCAGATGTCAGGAAAAACTCTGTTCCGTAATGGGAGACCGCCAATCCTTTTCTAAGGGAATCCCTTCTGTCCCATGACTGCAGTGTTTGGATTTGAGGAACGAATCACTGCGACAATTAATATGCTAATTTCTGCGATGACACAGTTTCTCCTCCGTCAAGGTGATGGTCTCAGTTACCCTAAATTGCTTGGTTTTTGTACAGGAAATAGTTGGAGCGGAAACATTCGAGGAAAGCGTCAATGTGGGGACAATCTGAGGTTATGTAAATGTTTTTTCCTCCTCGCTGTCATCACTAGTTCAAGTGTATTTGAAAGGATTGCCATGGAGCTGGGCTACAGAAAGAAAAAAATTTCATGGGAAGTCGCATGAGTAAAACTGAGTATTTTATTCTCTCCAAGCCTTTCTTATTTTTCTCCTTTTTCTGTCATTGCTCCCAAAATTAAACTTCCTACATGCTTGACGTCTTTCCGACACGACTAATGGGAAGTTCACATAAAAATCGAGTTCAATTTCGATTGTTTATGTATTATATGCTTAATAGTTGGTTTAACCTGTTCTGCTTTATAGTGAAGTGAGAAGACTTGATTTCAGGATTTTTGGATCTCGAAAGCAGAATATGATGAAGGTGGTCTTCAACGATGCTTATCGAAGTTAAACGTGAAATAGGAGCTTGTGAAGTCGTTATCAGTAAAAAGGTTGTTGTTTTTGAATCTGAAATCATCATTCGACACATTGCCCTTTCCTGTGCTGCAAGTTCAGTTAGTTTATATGACATATAAGGTTTAAATTTGATTATTAAATTTTTTATGTCATTGGTAATTTAAGCGTTTTTTTAGATGTGATATGTTTACGTTGATTTTTAGTGTTCTCCTGTTAATATGCGCTCTATGTATTGTTATTGATCACTTTTCATGCCCTACTGCTCACTCCGAAACTCTTACGTTGAACTCGGTCGACACTCTCGCGTGTACATTGTTAACTGATGTGTGTATGTGTCGGTTTGTCTGACTGTTCCCTTTATGTTTTGTTCATGTCGCCCGGCCAATTCTGTCAGAGGTGAACGAGAAGGGACACGCGCGGTCGCGATGTGCCATCATGCTCTATTCGTCGATACTCCCGCCTTAAGCATGCCTAGGTGGGGCGGCTTGAATTGCTTGTGTGTTTTCTTTTTTTGTGGTAATTATTACCAAGGCTTTTTCATTTCCATAGTCATTTCATTTCTCATATATTTATTTTTTTTGGATTGTATTGTCTGAAGATTTAAATTATACCTATGAATAACGTCTTGCGAATGTATGCGTTCATGTTTGTAAAATTCACGAAGTCGTCCTACAAAATGGTTCCCACGCATGTGTGATGGGCCCCACCCACTTTGTACCGCCGATGTTTGATGGGTTTTTAGTGCATGTCGCCTGTGACACCATTTCATTCCTTGTGGGAAAATTCCTCGCGCTTCGGCTAGTGTTTTTCTTGTCTATCGGTATTACTATCTGCATGAGCGGAATGTATGGATACTGTTTGAATGACATCTAAATGTAACATCTTAGTCATCGCCTACGTAGCTGGTCACGACAATTCTCTCATAGGCCACCGGGATCCTCATAATTGTTATTGGCCTTGCGACACAAACTATCACTTTCATGTTCTGCATTTTCTCCCTTTTTTCAACTTTTTTATTTTGATTACTCTTCATACTTCACCCGAAAAGCATTTGAGTGGTTAGGATTCTGAAATTCGAGAAGTATTTGTGCCTCATTCTATCATCGTGTTCTGCTGGCAATTCCTCAACCTCTACCTTATTATGCTCTGTTTGGTTATTTAGATGGAGCTTCTTCTAAAGTACGCGGATAGGTCACTTCTGGTTACCACCGCCTCGATGGACGGTCTTCAACGGTCTTTTAGTGCGGCAGAGTGTTTTCTCCGGAAGGGTGTAATTGATGGCACAGACAAGGTGATAGGGCACGTTTCCTTCAACAGCCTCGGTTTTTGAGGATTCCTTTCCAACCTTTTTCTTCTGAGAAGCTACCAAGAGCGATAGTTACCCTGAGTCTCTGAGTTTTCTCCATCATCACCTATGCTGTCACTTGCCGACGTGAAAGGCAAGATCATTCCCTGACTGATTAGTCATCTCCAAGATTAAGATGTTTCCTTTTTGGTTGGGAAAATTCTGAGAGTTGACCTCCACTTCTAGGACCTACTGATTGGGATTGTTCGTTTTCGCATTTCTTCCAAACGTTGAGTATTTTACAATCTGTGATTCGTACGTGCCATTCATTATTTCAATACATCGACTAGTTCACTCCAGGTTTGGGTTTGCTGTCAATATTCAACAGAACTATTCAATTTCGTTGCAACAGAACTGGAGCTTTATTTCGTTCATGTCACTGTGTATTTCCTTTCTTAAGTACCGAAATTCTAAGAGTAATTAAGCTTTCAAACTTATGTTTAGCTTGCTTCAGTCACGTCTTTCTGAAGGGCTTCAAGGGGATTGCGCAGCTGTATCTCATACCCTATACAAGCACCAAAATCTGAGACTGGTTCCGAGAAAAATCATCTAGACATGTCGTATTTTAACAAGCGTTCGATTCAGGACCTTATTGAACTGCTGTGTGAACCCGGCTATTTGTCCTGGATTTTCGCTCTTAGCGTCATTGGATAGTATCAAAACTTATGCTCAGTGCCTTTTATTTTCTCTTTTTTGAATGATGATACATGATTTACTCAATTCTTACGATTTTTGTCCCCTTCACCATTGCTTCAATTAAAACTGATAGATATCGGGAAGGCATCGTCTTATTGACCAGCAGGCAATCAATTGTCACTTCTCGTTTGGCGATATGGCTGTGGGACATCTTCCCGAAAACCTAATTAATCTTTCTGCCACACAAAAGTGCCCTAAATTGAACTTTTGTCCATGGCTGCAAGATTTGATTTATAGCGAGAACTATTGCATTTCCTTTTCTGTCCTCTACCATAGTTTGCTGTAAATCGTTCCCAGTCAGTCTATTCGACGCCCATCTCATTTCTGAGGTTCAGAATTTCACAAATTTGCTTCATCCAACTTGATCTTTTTTTCGTTGAGCTACTTTCTGTAACTTCTGCCACGCACTTATGCACTTTTGTGCTAAAATCAGTGTAGAAGGAATGAAAGTTAACGACGGACTCAAACTTCTACCGTAATTCTACCGTTTCGTCATGATACATGTTATTACACGACATTTTACGCCTAAAGCAATCGTGGGATTACGGTAGGAACGTGTGGGATTCCTGCTTTTTGTTTTGTACTGAGGTTTGTGCTTTAGCAATACATGCATGGTGCATATATTCGTAGCTTCTCACTGCTGAAGAGAACCTTCGTTAAGCGTCTAGATGGCATTTTTGGGTGATTGTAGGTAACTTTAGGAAGCTACCCTCATTCCCATGTAATTGATTTTTTTATTACTGCGTCCATTTCCAGTCTCTTGAGTTCTTTGTTGACTAATGTTGATCCCTTTCATGTAGGAGTTCAATAAAGTAACCAATTGAATATACTTTTAGGGATTGATATAAAAATCCAGCTGTCCTTAAAGTAAGTAAGCATTCGTTTACAGCAAATTCCGTAAAAACCTTCACCTCCCTCATCACAACGATTGAAGGAGTACTTTAAGAAAAGCCCTCTGTATCTCGGAAAGTTCTTTTACGGTCAACTACGCTTAGCTGCAGGGCAATCCTGATCGCCTTTATTCTCTTAATGCCGAATTCTGGACACAATGACCCAACCTACTTTGTATAGGGTCATCTTTGTTAGTCCCACATTCACAGCCTCAAATGATGTGCTCCTCAGAGACGTTGAGGCTACGGAGAAGAAAATTTCCTGCATGAATTCCTCATTCTTATTTTTGTTGCCCCCTTGGGAGCAGTTTATCTCTTCGTCTTTCCCCACTAGATTGGCAGCAGTTCGGAAGGCTTTGAGTGAGAAATTTGTCGAACGGCTTTTTTATCGCTCAGATTTTTTTGCAGATTTTTGTTTGTAGACAATAGCGGCTGCTTTATTGACAGATGACACATTTTAGTTGACATCGCTCTGGTTTCGTTCTTTGCTTAGAAAATATTCTACAAAGTCTGATTTTTCGTTTTTTCCAGTACCAGTATGATTCAGTAGTAGTTGGTGATGGTTTCCTTTGAAGGTTCAAATCGCAATCAGATCGGTTTTACTGATCATGTGTTGAGAATGAATACTGAATTTTGAGGGGTCAACAATGTATGGTGCTTTTACGTTGTTCTGGAAATGGGCCGAAGTTCAAGGTCCTCGCCAACCCCGCCCATCAGTATTGAGGTGGGCGGAGTTGGCGAAATTGAACTCACACTACCCATTTCCATACTGTGTCTGCCATGAAAACGTAATAACTAGTCTACCCAACTTCATTTTTAGCAAGCTTACTGCAAACCAATCTGATTATGGTTTGCGTTTCGAAGACAGAGTTTTTTCTAGATTATATCACCTTATAATCGTGAGCTTGGCTTCTCTTGTCTCCTCTAACTCTGGGCAGGGTCGAATTCTCCGTCACATAGCACATACAGTTGGTTAGAGGCTTTTAATTAAGTGCAACTTAATTAAACTCACTGCAAAAGAGTTTTTTTTTCGCAGTGTGTATGACTGATGGCTGGGAAAAAAGGTTTTGAGATCGATTACTTACCATCAGTTCGACTTTTGCAGAGATTGTCTAGGTAGAAGTCTAGATATCAGGGGGCTCAGAGGATAAATTACTTAACCTCGGTTTATTACTTTGGAAGGCGCCGAGCATCCAACTTTGGGACTAAT